CCCCAATCATGATAGGTCAATTCTGAAGAAAGTTATAGCCATAAATAAAATCGCTGCCCATGCTCTGCCTGCAGTTCTGCCCACAGCTGTTGATGTTGTTGCTGCTTGGGTTCAACTTTGTGCTGCGATTCTGATGCAAATGTATGCTGTTGAAACTGTACATGAACATGTCTATAATTTAATTAAATAATTTAATTAATATACTTTTTTTTAATTATTCAAAAAGTTATTTTCATTTTTTCCTTTTTGGTGGGAGGTACAGGGTATTTAAGAGTTGAGCTTGCTCGACTTTAGCATTATTTTCTTGTTTATTAATAATTTTTAAATGAAAAAATAATAAAAACTAAAAAGACACGACAATTCTAGGTCACAGCTTATTTCGTGCAGTGGCTTCTTACTTAAAAATATTTATTTTAAATTAATATTTGGTTAGGCCATTTTTATATTGGATAAGGGTTTTCAAATAGTTATTGATAGAAGCCAGAAATTTGTTTGTAGTTTCTAATGGTGTTTTTTGCCATTCTTCCAAAATGGCCTTCTTTGGGTCATTTATTTTTTGAATTTACCGTTTGCTAATAACTTAATCCAAAATTTCAAAAAATTTTGATATGACATTCAAGTCGGTGATTGAGCTGGCGGAATCATACCGTGTGGACAGTTAGGTCTGCGCAATTCCCGATTTATGTTTTGGTAAAATGGAAAAAGATCCCCAAACCTAACATATTGGTACATTGGAGAACATTAGTTTTCAATTTGGTGGGGTACATATTCTTATCCATGATTCTTTCCTGAAAACCAATTTCCCGACTCCGGAGTCAGACATACAGGCCCAAACATGTACACTTCCTCCTCCGTGCCTAAATGTACTTGTAGGAATAAGATGTTTCTTTTGAAGCGGATTATTCGGCATACGCCATTCCCTCTGCATTCCGTTGGACCAATTGATATTAAACGCGTCCGCAAAAATTACGTCGTTCCACCTTGAGATTGGCTTCAGAACGAAATCCTTCGCAAATTAATGTTGGCACATATTATTTCTTGTGAACATAAACGGCTTCCTAAAGGTTGTCGACCATTGAAAGCGTATTTCCCCAGCACACGGAGGTTCCAGTTCCAGTTCATCCTCTAGTATTTGACTTAGGGGAACCGAAATACCAAGTTTGGTATCTTTTGAGATACTTTCGTTTAAGCAGACGGACGGACACTGCTATATCGACTCGTCTCGTCATCCTAATCAAGAATATATGTATGTATATATTTTATGGGGCCTGACACGCCTCATTCTATACTCTTGTATATTTATGTAGAGCATAAAATTGCGCCAATCTATTATAGTATAAAACTAAATAGGGACTTTGTTAAATTGAGGGGAAAACTAAGTTGCAATTATCACCAATATTTGTCCGAGCTGTTCTTCAAAACTAATCCCAAACCACCACTGCTAGTTAGCTGAGCTGCAAAAACTTCGAGTTCAATATAGAAGAAATTCAACGAAGCTTGGAGAAGCAACTTAGCTGGGAGATGTAAAAACCAAAAAATACATATTCCGAGCTATAAAAACCTTAAAGTACTGCAAATCAGCGTTGTCCTGCTCCAACACCAACACTCTTCAAAACACATAATGTTATAGCTGCAAGTAATTCTTTAATGTCAATCACATTCCGACTGGCTCATAAGAAGTAAGGGTGGTGTTCATTCCCAAAAATGAGAAAGCATCACACGCCAAAGACTTTCGTCCCTAGAGTCTATCTTCGTTTCTCCTAAAAACTATAGGTAGACTTACAATAGAGAACGCTGCATTCGAGCAAACCCGACAGCACTGAGTATATACGCGCCTAGCAGAAGCAAAAAGAAGAAGAAGAGCAACGTGATGCTGCAGCTTGTTTCGCCAATAACTTTTCTTAAAATGTACCGATTTTAAACGAAAGTAGATATTTATGTATATACTATATGTAAAATAGCAGGTCTTGTCCGTCTTTGCTGGGCTAAGTAAAATGTGCTTATAATTATAAGTTTATTTACTATATGATATTCTTCTTTCGACGCTCTCTAAAGTTTTTTAAAGAGTTCATTTTCCAAAAAGCAAATATAGCACAATAAGTACTATGTATGGTTATACGTACATACATACATATGCACATACGTATCTTCGTTACGCACCGGGCGGACTGCCAGTCCTGACTTAACTGTGTGCTTCCTCAGCACGTTGTACGCACGGTCGAGTTATCCCCGAAAAGTCCGACGCGGGACATTTAATTTTGATTTATAAATCGGGACGTCCCGCCAAAATTGGAGCGTTCGGCAACGCTGATATGTACATACATTTAAATTTTTCATGCAGGCGTTATCCGCCTATATACATGCATACATATATAAATATGTATTAAATTTTTTAATTCAACACTAATTTGTGTCTTCAATTCCAAATATGATTGCTGTGAATGTAAAAGGTGTGTTTCTGCTTTTTTTTAATCGCATGAATACACTACAAAATAGGCTTAACGATAAATGACTCTTAGAATTGTTCAGAATATATGTATTTGTAGCGTTGTTAGCTAAAACTAAAACGGTAAGTCGCTGGAAATATGCGATCAGCTCAGATGCTAGAGATGGGCATGTGTCGGATGCTCTATGTGTTAGAGCATCAAAACTATCGATAGTTGAATCCGTCGATACAATCAATAATTCCATCGAAGTTTGAATGCAATTAACAGAAAATTTAAAGAATAACATCTTATAATATATTGAGATCATTTAGAACAAATCATATACAAACATACATATGTACATCTGCCCGCAACGTGAAGAAGAATATGCGTAGGTCCGCTTTCATTTCTGCTTTACTATCGCTTAAGCAGTCGTTGCCTAGCGACGGTAACTGTAAACTTTTGGCATTATGCCTTTGAAATTAACAGGCGTAAATGATCAAAAAGTTACTAATGAAAACCCTAATGCCAAGTGTACTAAACAAACAAAAATTACTTTTAAAAATGTTAAATAATTTTTAATTAATTAACATTTATTGCTCTGTCAGTGCAAGACGAATGAACATACATACGTAGATGTGTAAATATGTATGTGTGTACATTCATACATTAGTGTCTCACATTTTGCTTTGGCTATTTCAATCGTTTGCACGCAACTACACGAACAGCTGCTTGTATGTGTGTGTGTGTTGTGTATACTTAGTTGTCCCCAACTGTTTGATATTTTGTATTGTTTGTTCTGCCTGCATTTGTAAAATGCATATTTTGAAAATCCTTGAAAGCAAAGTTGTAGATTTAGTTACGTAGATTACGGTCTCCAAATTTGAAATCGATCGGATAGAATTTAAAACACAAACTTTTCATTTGAAAAGGTGAATAAATAATAAAACCCCAATAATTCAAGCCCCACCACAAATTTCGAAAATCCGAGTGTGCAGTTTTGTTTGTATTCTTTTATAGATTATGAAAATCAAATTTAAAGTTGATCGGTGCAGAAATGCAGAATTTTCAAAAAAACTTTGGAGCTCGTACGTTGATCACCAATTAGTCAGCCAGGACAAACTGTTTTATATATGTAGAGATTACGAGTTTGGTTGATTTTGGAATGTGGACAGTATTGACAAATATCTGCAGCGAGGAGGGAAAATCGAAATAATAATTAAATAAACTCGCGTAGCTTATATACAAAGTTTGGTTAATGTGCGCTCAACCGTTTCCGAAATTGAGCCGTTCATCCAGACAGACGGACATGTCTAAATCTATTTCTCTCGTCATGCTTATAGTATACATATATACTTTATGGGATCAAAGATACTTCCTTCTGCATGCCTCGATATGAATTACCTCTTGGTAGCATTTTTAGGCACAGAAGAGCGTCTTTAATAATATCCCCTCTTCTCTATCACTATGACAAAACGTACAGTGATCCGATCTCATCAGCTATGAGGGTCTGACCACCCATAAGCTCGCGATTACACTTTCGAAGTGCCCGTCGCCTTGTGGTTTAGGAGTAAACCCCACTTAATGAGAGTTAGTACTTTTTACAAGAATGTAAAAGATTCTGGAACGCCTGCTGCCCACATCAAACGGAATCAATTTCAAAATTAGATACAACTGATGCACTAAATATAATATTTAATCTTTTCCCCCTGGATATCATTGGGCTAGAGTTAACCATCAACACAGCCTTAAAGCTAAGAAAAATTCCGGTTCTGCAAAGATTCTCCGTGTCCGCCCTGGAAACCCATACAAGAGATTATCTGTGGAAGGGACCACACTGATTTCCTACTGGATTAGAATAGGATTGCTTCAAACACAACTCCAAAGCCATCATCGATCTCTTAGCGGTATGGTCCAGCTAGACAGTGTCAACATCATATGCACCGGACTAGAGGGTAACTGCATTGCAGATGCAGGGCGGAAACTAAAATGCATCCTTCCTGACAAAAAAGGTATGGGTATTTTGTTATTTGTCTTGAGGCTTTTATTGCGTAACCTAGCAGCCCACGGAAAGTACAAATTTGTGTGTTCAAGCAATTCTATCCTGGCCAAATATGGACACCAAAAGAACCAAGCTCCTAACTAACTAACTAGACTGGGTAGAAGTTTCCAAAGTGGTGGAGACAGTCACGATCATCATCATCGGTAAATTAATGCCTAATAAAAAGTACGCAAATGTGCTATATGTGTTGTTTGAAATATTTTTTAATATAAACTCTTCAGTTTAATATATTTTAAACATATTTTCGTAGAGGAAAATACATTACATGGTTTTTTTCAACAAAATAAAAACCAGAAATAATTTACAGGTTAAAAAGATAATTAAAATAAAATTGATAATAATTAAAACACGGGAAGTGTAGAATTTCAGAAAACTGTTGACAATAAGCGACAAATTGGAAATTGTTTGGCCTGTAAGTAGGTATTAGATATGGCCAACATATAAATAATGCTACATATTAATACAAACGAACTTTTCATATACTATGTGTGTAAAATAGATAGTATACCAACTAAAACAAAATATTTGCACTGTATTTAGAGACAGCACACACACAAAAATCTACTTTAAATAATTAAAATAAAGTGCGGTAGATGATTTAAGAGTAAAAAGCCATACAAACGAGCTAAGCCTTGGATTTCCATTGCTTACTCTTTTAGGTAAAACTCAAAATTATGTCGCTGTGCTTAATGCGACATACGACGTTTTTGACCTCTTTGCAAGGGGCGACAACAGTTGCCTTTTGTCAGCGTCTAGTCAATTATTTTCCAAAGGCTTTGCCTGTTCCCACGAGAAACCATCGCGTCCAAAATGTCCGTATGTGCTGGTGCGCTGGTAAATGGGTTGGCGCAGATTAAGATCTCTGTTGGGTGAACTTGAGTCAGATAAAATCCATTAAAGTAGAGATCGGATAATACTTACTTTACGATCATTCCAGGTCTTAAGTCAAAATTACGTTTAATAATATCGAGCAACTCCTTCTGGGTCTTGTGGGAGGTGCCGTAGTCGAAAACAGTGATTGACAGTGGTTCTGCCAAACCAATAGCGTAAGATACCTGCACTAGACAGCGTTTACACAAGCCAGCCTTGACTAATGATTTGGCCACCCATCGAGCTGCGTAAGCTGCAGACCTATCGACTTTCGTGAAATCTTTGCCCGAAAACGCACCACCGCCATGTGCACCCCAGCCGCCATATGTATCCACAATGATTTTACGACCAGTCAATCCCGCATCACCCATAGGGCCGCCAATCACGAACAGTCCGCATGGGTTGATGTGGACAATGGTATTAGAATCAAAGTATTTGGCGGGAATGACAACTTTTACTACTTTCTCCATCACCTCGGTGCGCAATGTGTCCAGAGTGATTTTTTCTGAATGCTGCATGGAAACAACTATGGTATGCACGCGCTTGGGGACCGCCGAGCCCTGGTTGAACAAATATTCACAGGTGACTTGCGTCTTAGAATCAGGACGGGCCCACCAAAACACACCAGAACGGCGCAGCTCGGCGATCTTTTCATTTAGCTTGTGCGCTAAAACAACTGTCAGGGGCATACACTCCTCGGTCTCATCAGTAGCATAGCCAAACATAATACCCTGGAAGTAGTAAAGAAGTGTTTACTAATGGTCTTCGCAAGATGCAACAAGAATCACGCATTAAACACAAACTTGGTTAGCGGTGTCACTATTATATACACCAATATGTATTATTTTAATTTTAAATTCTGATGCATAACAGAAAATGGAAAAATGATGAATTTAAAAAAAATGATTTAGGTTTTTGTTACGTGATTTTGTTTCCAATACGAACTACGGTGAGGTACCCAAATTTAAACCCGAATATGAGCATTGCATATTGAAGATTACGATATATACTATACTATAGAGCGTTGGTTATTTGAACCTCGTAAAAAACAAATAAAATTTTAATAAAATTGTTTATTATTGATTCTTATAACAAACGCTAAATGATTGATTATGTGCATGAAATTTTATATGTTTACTACAAATTATATCAGAAATAGTTGGTAACACAAATTGGATTACATACTCTTTCAATCAGTTATGCAGGGTAATGGGTAACTTTCTATTTTTAATCAGGAATAGAGTGCCCCCTCATAAATACATTTATGGTTGTAAGATTCTTTAAGTTGAATTATATTTTTGTCCCTTCGTGTTCTTTATCGGACTAAGGAAAACCGTGGTACCAAGTTTGGTACTTTTTGATTTTAAGCTATACTTGCGTTAACACGGACTGATCAACTCTAATCTTTTGCCACTTAAGTGCAGGATATTCAAAACCATTAAGAGTTACCAGTAAACTGAATTAACAGAACAATCTGCTAGTAAATGTGCATCTCTTTAGAAAGAGTATGTATGCCTCAGCTACCCGAGGATATTACTTTTTTGTCATTGATTCTGTTCACACCTGATCTCCAGCACCGATCTCTTCCTCTGCGCGGTTAACATGCACTCCGGCGGCAATTTCGGGAGATTGTTGGTCCAATGCCAAAAGCACATTGCACGTTTTAAAATCAAAACCTTCATTTTCGTATCGATAGGTTTTTCGTTTTCAATTTTTTTAAATTCATATGTTTTTTTACATATGGTGTTTTTGTTTTTATATATGAAACGAAAGAGATAAAAAGAAGAAAAGAGCGCAGCAAAGTTGCACACACACAATGAAATAATGTTCGGTAAATAATGAATTGCTTATAATTTATATATTCCCACATATGTATGTTCTCTTAAATATATGTATGTAAATATGAAGAGTATGACAAACACAACATCTACCCGAATAATTTGATTGGAGGGAGCCAATGAAATTGTGTCCAGTTCTCATACGGTGTGCATTAGTTCATCTGGAGTTGGGCGAAATTTCAATGACGGTTTTGGTAAGACATTCCACATGCAAAGGTACGGTGGCGACGTTACTATTATGATTCCCTAAGATTGATGTTTACCTAATAGTCTGAACATAACTCAAAGAAGTACTAATTCGAATTTGAAATTATAGGTATTCAAGGAAAATTAATTGAAATGTTCTACAGCTCGATAGGAACGAAACAATTCGAAAAAATTGCATTGAGAAATAGTGGCTAATATAAGTATATTATATTTGATTTAAATGTCACAATTTGTATAGCATTTTTGGCGACAAAGGTATTGTCAATGTTCAATGATATCAAAAAGCTGAAAGACTAATATATTTCAGCTAAAATAGTGTGTTTAACCCTATTTGAAGGAAGTATAAAATACTAACATTTACGTAAATACACAAATAGAAACGGTAGTGAAGACGCCTATCAATTAATCTTAAATAACAATTCATTGTTCGTTGACAACCCAGTGTTAAAAAGGCTAACTAAAAACGATTAACAGAAATTTGAACGAAACGCACAAACGCACACATGATACTGGCATCACTTAGTAGTAGAAGGCGGAATGGTAGAACGAAAATTCATTGATATACCTGGTCACCAGCGCCAACGTCCTCTTCTTCGCGATTAACATGCACGCCATTGGCAATATCGGGCGATTGTTGTTCAATGGCGACAAGCAGGTTCAAAGTCTTCCAATCGAAACCTTTTGATTTGATTTATGTAATTTGAATTGTCTTTGGATTGTGGGTTTGGGTTTACGTCCTCATCTGAAACCCGCCCATTTTTTAACGTGTAAACTGTAAATGCTTACCCTTTGAAGAGTCATCATAGCCAATATGCTGCACTGTCTCGCGCACAACTTTCTGGTAATCGACAACAGCCTTTGATGTGATCTCACCACAAAGCAGAATCATGCCCGTCTTGGCAACAGTTTCTACAAGGAAAACAAAAAATGCAATTAGATAGAGTCGATAACACATAGAATTTTTCTCAAAACCATGCCTTGTGCCTCGGTACATAGTTTCTATATGTACATTTGAGTTAAATGCGCATTGCTATTGTTTATTTGCGAAACTATCCCGATCAGCGGATAAAAAGAGTCAGACACGCGACGAAGTGTGTACTTCTGTTTACTTGGCAGTAATGTTTCATTTGCGGCAACTTGCCGATTTCTTAAAAAAATAAATAGAACATTCGGCGGCTTGAAGATGCAGAGAGCTGCAATTTACTTTGAAATCTGAACAATTTATCAAGCATTGATGCCTGATTGAGTAGCTTTTTTTTCATATGAATTGAAAATATTAAAAAAACAATTTTAAAAAATATGAGAAAAACATATTTTTCTAAATTTAATTACTCACAGGCAGGAAAACAGTTTTTGTTTTTTTCTTCACAAGGCAAACAGTTTTTTTTTTCTTGTTATTTTCTATTATATGTAATTACCACAAGCAACTTTTGCGTTTGGGTCTTGTCTTAGATGAGCATCTAGAATAGCGTCACTGATTTGATCGCACATTTTGTCTGCAAGAAAAATACACAATAAAGAATTTTAAGAAGGCATTTAAAAAATTTCAGTTATACTAAAAAAACAATAGCAGCTCGTGCTTCTTTGAGCTACTACTTAGACCACATAATACAGACACAATTTTAAAATTTGTGCTATCCACAGCGAAATTCAATCTCTTATGTGTTCATTGTACATTTGCAGAAAAATAAGAAAGTGAATAACGAAACAAATATCATATTAAATATCGTCGCCGTTGTCACATTTGACTCCAGTCGAGCTCAAAAATCGGCGAGAGATAATAAAGCACGAGCTTTTTTGAACCTTTGTATTGCGTCAGCAACATGTGGATGGGAATATGTGGGAGAGGGGCGATAGAAATATCAATGAATAAGCAAAATTTTAAATTGCCAATTCATTTTGATACCTTACCACGCGTTGAGCCTCTGATTCCAGTTGGGCTGGCTTATGTAAATATGCACATATGTATGTACTGATATATGTTTGTATATAAATGAGCTTCGGTGTGTGAATGTACACATACTTGTATGTATGTATACATACATACATTCATATCGTAGAAATGTATGTAAGTATTCAAGGGTTTTCAGCTTTACAAATGTTTTCTATGCATGTACATACATACATATTCATACGTATGAACATATGCACGTACATGTGTACATATTTATATATGTATGTAGATGTACGTAGATGTATGTACAAACATGCATGGATCTCTTAAATTGATAAAAGTTCAATATCTTATATATGTATGTATGTATGTACATACATTTGTTCATACAAAAACAAATTTGTTTCATTTTTCTAAGGAAAAATATTTTACCGGTGAGACCTAAGGCATACATGTACGTATGTATGTACATACATATGTACATAAATATGTACGTATGTACATACATATATAAATATGTACATACTTATGTACATACAAATGTACAAACTTGGTAAAGGTAACAACACGTGGTCGATACCAATATTAAAATAACTGCTTTATCAATTTTGAGAAACTATACATATGTACATAAATATGTATGTATGTATGTATATATGAATAATGTATATTTAGACATGCATATGTATGTATGTATGTGTGAATGTTAAACTGTTTTGAATATAAAGAGAGGCAAAAAGTAGTCAGTAGACGGCAGAGTATAAAAGGCTAAAAGCACATGGTGCGCATGACGAAAACCCTGATGTTGTTTGCGAGAACCAGAACCAGCCAAAAACCAGCAATGGTTTAGAGCACCATCTGTGTGCGATAGTTAGAGTTACCAGCTCTGGTACATATACATACATACATATGTATGTATGTATTTACGTATTTAAAAAATCAGCATACACCGGCAACTTAGCAGTTTCATATGACCTGGTAACCCTGGCAGTTGTTCCGACAAAATGTACTCAACGAGTAAGCGTAAACACGTTTAATTTTCTATTTGTACTATGAAAATGTAATATAAGAATAATAAAATAATCTACCATGTAATCAAATTAAAAAATACACCGTATATTTCACACAATTTACTCGTTGTCGTCGCCATTTTGCTTATATTCACGAAGCGGTTGCTAAAGAGTTTGGTTATGCGTATACAAACATACATACATATGTACGTACGAATGCATGTACATATACATACACATATGCATATATGTATGTATGTATGATCATTAGAAGAAAAGTGAAGCTTGCTAGTTATATTCCACGCAGCCAGCATCTGTGTTCCACCACAAACACACATAAATTCATATTTACAATCATACATGCATACATACATAAGTACTGTATGCAGCCATCATGTGTATATGTATGTATTTCACATTCTATATGATGCAATAGGAGGTTGGTACGCACAATTAAGAATTCACTACACTAGCATTAGATACTACTCACCAGGATGTCCTTCACCCACAGATTCTGAAGTGAATAGAAATGTTTGTCCATCTTCCATGTCGTAGGAATTGCCATTGCTGCCATTGAAGCCATTGGCGACTACATGTCCGTTAGTCTTTTGGGGCATTTTTAATGTATGTTGCTAATTAGTTCCGTCTAATAGATGGGTGGCTGTATAAAATACAAAACGTAGCAAGCGATTGTAAATAATGTTTATAGTTTTCACATGTATGTATTGATTTTCCCCCAAACGGCAACAAATTGCACCCGTCTCCAAGTGCGTCTGTTGCCTTTTTTAAATGTTACCATTTTTTTTTATATAATCAAGACGAGCAATGCACTATTTTGTTTCCCGCTTGTTGATATGGCGCTTAACAACACCAGTCCCAGCACTTACATATTTATTTATGTTTGTATATACGTAAAAAAAACACGCGATACACAAAGTGAATTATAATTTACTGGTTGTTTTTATGTGTTTGGTGGCGTACCGTGTTGTTTAATACAAATTTATCAATGTATGTATGTTATTTTGACCGAAAACAACGATATTTTTCTGATTTAGCGACGGCAATCTAAACTCAGTGGCTATGTTGCGCACACGTCCTTTCTTTGTGACGGTTCTCTAGAAAAAGAGCGCATACTTATTGCTTGGCGGAGAATATATACCCCAACACGAGGTAGTCCCCATACAAGGGCAACTAGCGGTCTGTTTATGTAGTTGTAAGCGTGAGCGTAGTCGCTCTTTTTTGCTCTGTGGTGGGACCGATTGTGGACGCACGGGCCTTGATTTGGGTTCTTATTTCTATTTACGCTAACAAAAACTTTTTCCACGTTTTCCACGCTATGTTATATCAGCTGTTTTGGCATGCGCACACAACTGTTTTGCGTTGCCAGCCTTTTGTAAGTCGTACTTATAAATAAAGTATATACAAGTAAATATCCGTCTGTAGATGTCCTTTCGAAATTGGACCAAATTTATTTCAATGCTTTTGACGAGCTTTTCGTACCTAACACACGCTTGCACAGCGCTCAACTGTGGATATTTTCAACAAATAAAGACTTATTTATAAATTTTGGTTTGTCTGATTGCGAAATGATGATCAGCAAAAATGCTTGATTATCAGCTAGCTAATATAATATAATAATATATTAAATACATGTATAAATGTATGTAACAAGTATAGTTAAGTATATATGAATATATGTACATATATATGTGAATGCAAGTGCGTATGCTCAAACAATACAAGTATTCTGCAATTCATTAAAATATGAAAATCCTAATTTGAAAAATTAAATTAAATAAGGTTTGGTCAGAAATCTATGTAAGTATTTTATATTCAGAATGCTTAAATGTAACGAAATCAAATATGTGGCTAAATTATCATCAGTGTAGAAAATGACTTGTAGGAACAGTTAAAGTTTAATGAAGTGGATGGAACTTGCAATGTTTCTCTCCTTATTAGATACGAATGTATTTATCTTTATAAAAAAAAGGCACAAAACAAAATGCCGTGATTTAATTTCAAAATGTGATCTTTCTTTAGTCAGCAAATTTAAAAATAAATGTACTTATGCGTTATTTTGATTTGTAAGTAATTTGAATTAAAAATAGTTATCTTGTGCTGTTTTTTTTTTTTTTTTTGTTACAGGAATTAAGTGGATTGAAACTTTGGAATATACATGTATGGTATGAATGTATGTATACGAATGAAGCGTATACAATATATTTCATAAGCCTATAATAAAATAGATTTTCCCTTAGGTATTGTAATGATTCTAATTTTTCGAATACATAAAGAATAAGACAAAGCCTCACAGAAAGCGCACGTCATGCTAATCATAAACAAGGTCACTCAAGATCAAGGCGGTATTATAAACAAGTAATTTTTTAAATATTCGAAAATAACAAGCTCCATTATCTTTCAAATAAGTATGACCCCCAGCTGGTAGGTCGTTTCTTTTAAATTTAAATAGTTTTTATGATTTATATCATTGAAATTTCTTTTATGTTTAAACTACAAGGTAGGCTTGGTCACAAGCAGTTCAAAAAACCTAACCACTACCATCTAATTGAAAACGTCGCATAACTTAGTTTGAAAATCATTTCACACATGTTACTTATCAGTATGAGTATGCTCGCTTTGACCCCATTGACAGAATGACATGGCAGATGTATACAATATATACAAACCTGATGAATAATGTTGTTTATAAACTTTAATAAACTGTTAATGAAACTAATTAATTAATTTTATTATTTAGCCGACATAAGAGGGCTGTAATCGTTGGTTCTAAAAGATGTGGCAACGCTGCGGCCATATAGTGGGTGGCAAGTGGCAATAAAGAACGGTGTAGATAAACAGCTGCCAATGACGTGTTTATTGTCCTACTAGCTGTTAGCTTACATTAAATTAACTGTTTTGAGTTTATTTGAAATGCGACTGTTTAAAAACGATTCGTCATAATCATAATGAAGCTGCAATATGTGATGTTTTTGTGGACAACTGTCATAAGCTCTTGTTTGGCTGAAGCTCTGTATGAAAAAATACCCAACGCAACAATTGAAAAAAACGAAGGACTTCATTCGAGTCCTGCTTCTACTATAAATGCAACATTAGATGGTGTTAGCGGAAGTCCCATTACAGCTGGTAATCTTAATGTCACTGCGCTCACGAACGCACCTACAGCAAACGTAACGAAAAATGCTACTGCGGTAGTCACGGAGCCGCCTTTGATCGATCCGCGTGCAGTGGAACAGGAGCACAACAGTTCTTTGTCACTATTTTTTGTAATATGTGTCATCATGCTTGGTATACTGCTTATTCATTCCATGTTACAAACGGGCTTTCAGTATCTTCCTGAAAGTATTGTCGTTGTATTTCTTGGTGCACTGATAGGCCTCTTTTTAAACGTAATGTCTGGTGAAAATGACAGTTGGAAGCGCGAGGAGGTATTCTCACCGACAGGCTTCTTTTTGGTATTGCTACCGCCAATAATATTCGAATCGGGGTATAATTTGCACAAAGGAAACTTCTTTCAAAATATAGGCTCCATACTAGTTTTCGCAATTTTTGGTACAACCATATCTGCATTGGTGATCGGCGCTGGAATTTATTTGCTGGGACTAGCAGAAGTTGCTTATCGGTAGGTGATCAACCCACTTCAGTTATTCCATTTTACAATTTTTAACTTGCAGACTCACCTTTTCGGAGTCGTTTGCTTTTGGTTCACTTATCTCAGCGGTGGACCCTGTGGCCACCGTCGCAATCTTTCATGGTAAATATTCTTATATCAATATAAGTTGACGGCTAAAGGCCCTTTTTTGTTAGTCATTTAATTAACTTTTTGGTAAGAACTGCTATTGGAAATGTTTAAAGTTACAAAGTTCGTGGCTCAAATCATATGTACCCTGCCAATGTACAAAACCTCTATCTTAAGATATGTATATTAGTTCGACCAATTAGACCAACGCAACCTAAACGTGGTGGAGAAAGCTTTAATACCAAGCAAGTTATTAAGAAATCACTTCTATTGCAACTAAAGTGTTTCGATTTGATCCGCATAATTTTGTTATTACTGAAATTTCAAAGATACATAAGCCAAATATTAGCCACTGGAACTGTATTTGTCAATCTAATTAAGGAACGGCTTTTGCGAAATGTCGTACTGTAATATTCTTCTTGATAAATGTATTTATATTCGTAAACAATTTTTACATTTTAAAGCTCTCGACGTGGACCCAATACTGAACATGTTGGTGTTCGGTGAAAGCATACTAAACGATGCCATTTCTATTGTTCTTACGGCATCTATAACGCAATCAGCAACTGCAAATGCTGAGGCTACCACCAGTGAGGCCGTATTTAGTGCTTTAAAAACCTTTTGCGAATTCGTCGTTGCCTCAGCTGGTATTGGGGTTATATTCGGCTTGGTCTGTATCTGATGCTGCAATTGTTTTTACTTAAAAGATTAATAATCATATAACCTTCTTTGCCCACTTATAGATCTCGGCGTTATTACTCAAGCATATTGATCTACGCAAACATCCTTCCCTGGAGTTCGGAATGATGCTTATGTTTACCTATGCGCCCTATGTGTTGGCCGAGGGTGTACACATGAGTGGAATTATGGCTATTCTATTTTGTGGTATAGTTATGTCGCACTACACCCATTTTAACTTGTCGACTATCACTCAAATAACTATTCAGCAAACAATGCGCACGTTGGCCTTCATAGCCGAAACATGTGTGTTTGCATACTTAGGGCTTGCCATTTTTTCATTTAAGCATCAGGTACATTTGTCATTTGTCATTTGGGCAATTGTGTTATGTTTGATTGGAAGAGCTTGCAATATTTTTCCGCTGGCATATTTGGTGAATAGGTTTCGCGAACACAAAATCAATAATAGGATGCAATTCATTATGTGGTTTTCGGGGCTACGCGGCGCCATTTCCTATGCGCTCTCACTGCACTTACATTTGGATAGCCAGGAAAAGAGACATGTCATTATTACAACTACACTTATAATTGTATTGTTTACTACACTTGTATTTGGTGGATCGACTATGCCCCTGTTAAAGTATTTAAAGCCGGGAAAGAAACGTCGGAGTCGTGGAAACTTACGCACTGAATCGGCTGCAGCTCACCCGTCACGTCGCAGCTCTGCTACACGTAAACGGAGCAAATCTATTTCCTTATCAAAGACGCGGGAATGGGGACAAGCCATCGATTCGGAGCACTTGTCGGAGCTAACAGAAGAGGAAGATGTCTCATTTTCACAGACACGGGTTGCTGGCTTTGGGCGTTTGGATCGCAAATATCTTATACCGTTTTTCACAAGACGCTTCAATAGTCAGGAGCTGCATGAGTGCAAGTCACAGATGGCTGATTTAACAAACAAATGGTATCAGGCTATACGTGTCAGTCCTTTGGATTCGGATGAATCAGACGAGGAGATTGGTTTGTCGGCCACCACGAGCCATAGCAATTTAACGCGCTCGTAGATGCTTGTGGAACATCGACCTGTGCATGTATTTAAACGTTGTAACGAATCATATGTACATATATACAAATGGGAATATACTTTCAGCATAGTATAGCGGAGGTTTCTTGCTTTGATTAGTCTTGTACATAACCTTATAAGACTACTTTAGATTAAATTGATTTAAGTTGTTATTTTAATGTTTGTTTATTGTGTCTATGTATGTTTATTTATGTTACATGCATTGTTTGGCTTTTTTTTATCCTATAGCTTAACTAGTAACAAAATGTGTTATGCTCTTCAATTGATTTTCATTGTCAACTCAAACAGTATTCGCTCCTATTAAACGTAAGCTTTTACACAAAAAACCCAAAAGGGTATACTATGTTAGTGCGAATGTATCTAACACACAGGATGAGGCGTGGCAAACCCTACAAAGTCCATATATATTGGATCACTATGTTCATATTGCTATACATTCTTCTGTCTGTATGAGCAAGGACAACCTCGTATTTTTTCGAGCACCGCATAGTTTACAATAACATCCGGTTAGTCGTCCTTGTGTCTTCGCCTCTAGCTTTAAATTCATATTTTAATATTAATTTAACATTAAGAGCGGATATGTAAGTGTGACAGATCTTTTTAAGCCCATTACATAGTTCAGTTTACTGGGCATATGGCTGTAAAACAGTTATGTATAATGTGTAGGGAAAATTTTTAAAAACTTAAAAAAAAGATACTTGTATATGTACGTTTTGTGATAAAATAGCAGAGGTTAAACAGCGACTCTATAGTACTTTTTTGAGAAGAGAATAAAAATATATAATTTACACATTTTTCATTTTTATAATACGAACGTTTCTTTTACAGTTCTGGGTATGCATAATTACTCCGAATTATTTATGAAAATTTAATAAAACTAAGATTTTAATAGAACTAAAAATTGACTAATGGCTTGTATGTTATAATTCCACGCGCTCTGCCGTCTCTATAGACATGGCTACTTCTGAAGCCTCTGTTGCCGTTCCCACTGCAAACAAAATATATATACAATTTTTTTAGATAAAATTAAAGAGTGAATTGACAGGATCCATAAAGAGCAAGTTATTCACAGAATAAAATTAATGCCCTATTCCTCGATTCTAATTTCTTTTATAAGGACTTCATAATCATTTCCTCTAATTGCTTTGTGTCGAATTGAGGCTTATGGCCGCCGTGTGGTGCTGAATTTAACCAATATTCGGAGGCAGCTATATAGATGGCAACAGCTGCCCCTACAATGTAGGCAATATGTGTGGAGCTTTGAAAGATGACGCATGTAGCAATGCACATGCCAAAGTAGGTGAGAAAGCGCGTGATGTACACGTAAGATTCCCGACTCTCTGACGCAAGATCTTTATGTGGAAAACAGATGGCGGGCGTGGGCAAAAAATATTGTTTTAAGTATTCTTTCCGAAACAAATGTACCATCATTAAACATTTTACTTACCTTGGCACTTGCCATCCTTCAGTTTATAACCATCCGCACATTGTCTGCACATGTCTGGTCCATCACCATCGCAGCCATTGCAGGAGCGATCACATTCCAGGCATGTGTACGAACCCTCGTTATTTACGCAAAACTGTTGTAGGCGACAAACATTGTTTTGTTCTAAACATTCGTTGATATCGACACACCCATTATCTGAGTCCCTATGCCAGCCGGGGTTGCACTTTTGGCAACTATTGGGACCAGCACCTGTGCAGCCACCTGAGCATGCTGCATGACAAGGTGTACAGAGCAGTTTTGAAGCGTCGCGAAATGATTCATAGTATTGCTCTGCACACTTGTCGCAATGGGATCCAGTGTACCCAGAATCACAGGAGCATTGACCATTTCCTTTGCGTGTGCCAGCGCCTTTGCATTTGCCTGTTAAAGTTATAAAATATACATACATACATATGTATGAAAATACCAGTTAAATTTTGGAATTATTTACCGTTGCCGCTGCAGCTGCTGCAAGGCTGACATGACGACCCATACGTTTCAGCTGGGCAGCATACCTTTAACGTGGTGATGCACAACCATTCGTGTAAGTCAGGCCATTCATTTTGCTTGTGAAGGAACCAGTCTTCTATGAGGGATTCATGTTCGTTCGCTAAGGAGTGGCAAGAATCTTGGCCTCGTTTCACATCGCCACAAAGTTGCTCCTGAATTTCTACTAAGCGCACTTCGCTTGTTTTGTAGGAACGGAGCTTCTCTTCTTCCCAGGCTGCATCACCGCCGGCATGTTTGCCACGTTTAGTTCTCTCAAGACCCAGTTCAAAGGACTTTACTAAGGACTTGCAGGCACTGCAGGGCGGCAACTTTGCGGATTTATCCCTTTGCTCTTTAGGTGAGCTATTAAAAAGCGATGGTTCCGCATTGGCTAGCGTCAGTAACGCAATTACCGTCATGCCCACGCTTTGAAAGAGCATAATAATACGTACTTTTTGAAAAAGCGATTTACCTATATTCTGCAAGAACAAGACCAACTTTTCGAGTTTACGTGTAATTCAATATAGCGCATTAAAAGGTGGCAGCACCGTTGAAGTGAATAAAAGCTGCCTGCTATGGTAATTGGCGTGGCCATAATATACATATGTACAAATGGTTACTTTTGAGTATTGCATATGTGCCTTATTAAAAATGTACTCAAACTTTGACCATCTGCCTAAGAAACTGTTTGACATGAACGATTAATTTCAAATTAATCGCACCAAGTGCAGTGCTGTCACTTGTTTACAAGATAGTAACAACAAAAAGCCACAAAAAAAAAAAAAAAACAACTAAGGTGCACGAAATAATTAGCTAGGACACTACGTTTTAGAGTATAACAACTGAACCGTTCAATATATTTTCATGAAGCAAATTTCTGTTTAAGCCTAATTAAATTATCAATAGACTTAACCTTAAATAAAACAAATAAAACTTAAGAAAATATAATTAAAAAATTAAACCAAATATTGTCAAACGAAATAATTAGCTAGGACAAACTCAGTGTTTTTATGTTAAAACTAACAATTTAAACAAAAAAAGAAACCGATTTCAAACTATTAACAGGCACTAAAAAGTAAAAAATAATTGCGTATTCTTCTACAACTTAATATTCAATATATAATGTAGATACAATTATTGTTCTTTTTGGAGTCGGTGTCAGCGGTCGCGCGCTACGCCAGTCAAGAGAAAGAGGCACTTCATTACGAACCATTTCAGATTCTTTTCTCTTTCTATATCTACTACGTCATTCTTACGGTAATTCCTTGTGTTTAATGTTGACTATATTTTCGTATCAGCATTTCCTTGATTACCCGTATGTCTCAGCATAGTGTCATATTAAAATTCGTTTGATTCGTTTAACTAGGTACCGGTTTATTTGTTGTTTCAAGGTAGCAGATATTGTCACAGTAGTTATACGTGTATTGTAGTATAAAAGTTAATTTGAAATTGGGTTTAATTAGGTATTGGTAATCTGTCACAGTATATTGTCGTTCGTATAAAAGTTAATTTGTAAAAAAAAGTATTTCTTAAAGTATTCTCATATTATTACTGGTAGATTGATTGATATATTGTAGTGTTTCCTTGGCTGACACCGACTCCAGAAATAACAATAATTGTATCTACATTATATATTGAATACTAAGTTGTAGAAGAATACGCAATTATTTTTTACTTTTTAGTGCCTGTTAATAGTTTGAAATCGGTTTCTTTTTTTGTTTAAATTGTTGTTTATTTTTGGATTTTTAGTGAATGTGAAGTACACTAACTAATGTGTATGAATATGGGTAGACCTAATAAACGTGTTTCTCATATGAGACAGCGCCGCTTAAATGAAGCAAAAGAAGTCATGGGGAAACTCCTCTTTCAACAGAGGAATCTTGCGAACTTTTCATGTTCTAAAGAATTCGTCGTGGATATACAAAGACTGAATCGAGCACTCTTGTTCTCAATATATTTTGTCGAAAACGTTCATCACACTGCCTGTCTGTCGTCTGCGAATATCTACTGTTCTGATTTGTTGAGTTGCGGCTCTTGTTGCAGTTTGTTCTTCTGACTTTTGAGCTTTTAGAACGCTGGGGTCGTGTATTTTTGCTACACGCATTGTTACGGTTAGATTTTTTCGACGGCATTTTACTGAAATTGAAATTCATTTAAATTTGACACTCATCTACCGGGTGCCTTCGCATGATATCTAAAACCCATGAACATTTTGTATGTTTTAAGAATTATATGGATTTCTCATGGATGCCATTATCAGAATTGGACCAAATTGCAATGGGACCACATGGGAATCATCAGCTTTCAAATACAAAAAGAATCATCAAAATCGGTTTACACAGTCGAAAGTTCTGAGGTAGCAATGAACAATACAGTCGAATTGAGAACGTCCTCGTTTGCAGAACCTAGCCAAACTCTCATCAAAGTACCCTTGAGGTACATCCTTTCCAATAAAAAAAGAATCATAGAAATCGGTTATCGTGATATAAAGTTATTCGTTCATTTGTCTTGCACATACTTAATACAAATTTAAGTTTTATGCTGTTTTCTCATGGATGCCATTGTCAGAGCTGGACCAAATTGCAATGGGACCACATGGGAATCATCAGCTTTCAAATACAAAAAGAATCATCAAAATCGGTTTACAGAGTCGAAAGTTCTGAGGTAGCAATGAACAATACAGTCGAATTGAGCACGTCCTCGTTTGCAGAACCTAACCAAACTCTCATCAAAGTACCCTTGAGGTACATCCTTTCCAATAAAAGAAGAATCATAGAAATCGGTTATCGTGATATAAAGTTATTCGTTCATTTGTCTTGCACATACTTAATACAAATTTAAGACTTATGCTGTTTTCTCATGGATGCCATTGTCAGAGCTGGGCCAAATTGCAATGGGACCACATGCGAATCATCAGCTTTCAAATACAAAAAGAATCATCAAAATCGGTTTACACAGTCGAAAGTTCTGAGGTAACAATGAACAATACAGTCGAATTGAGAACGTCCTCGTTTGCAGAACCTAACCAAACTCTCATCAAAGTACCCTTAAAGTACATCCTTTCCAATAAAAAAAGAATCATCGAAATCGGTTATCGTGATATAAAGTTATTCGTTCATTTGTCTTGTACATACTTAATACAAATTTAAGACTTATGCTGTTTTCTCATGGATGCCATTGTCAGAACTGGATTAAATTTATATGGGACCATTCTGGAAGCACCAGCTTTCAAATGGTATAAGAACCATTAAAAACAGTTCACCCAGTCGAGTGTACCGAGGTAACAAACATAAAAAAAAATAAAAATAAAAAAATACAGACGAATTGATAACCTCCTCTTTTTTGAAATCGGTTAAAAAGGAGCAAAACAAAGAATTTTAAACGATGAACGTCGTTGTTCAACTTGGTGTTGAATTCACCAAATTTTTGAGCATTTAAATGTCAAATTTTGCCCATTCCCGAATAATGGCTTCTCTTAACTCTTTTAGAGTTCCAAATTGCCCCACAGACATTGTATCGGGTTTAAGTCCGGGCCGGGTGTTGGCCACTCTAAAAGAGAAATTATTGAATCTCAAAAAAAGCTTTAGTGAGCTTTGCAGTATGAATGAGTGTATTATCCTGCTGTAAAATCTAGGCGTTTCCGAAATAATTTCTCCAAATTGGCCTAAAACAGTCTTCAATAGATCTACATTATGTTGTGCATTGATTTTATGCGTTATTAACCACATTGGTATCTTTCCATCACACCCGAAGGCAGCCCATATCATGAGGGACCCACCCTAGGAGTTTCTGGGCACGTAAACTATTTTGGGGTTCGCACATTCGCGATAATAGTATCGGTAACCACCAGGGCCACATAAATTAACTTTTTCTCATCATTAAACATAATATTTTTCCACTCCAAATCCCAAAATTTGTAATTATGGCAAACTGCAATCAAGCAGTTTTGTGCTTAGATAGTAGCAGCAGTTTAGGTAATTTTTTTCATATGAAATATCATCCGATCTTTTAAAAATTTATTGTACACGTCTCATGGATATCTGCAGAGACAACTTGCTCCTTATTTGTGATGCGCTGATATTTTCATTGGCTGCAAGATTTAACAAGTGAGAACGCTACAGTCGAGCAAGCCCGACAGTGTAATACCCTGTACCCAGGTAAACTTCCGTCACTGAGTTATATGCGCCCATAGCAGCAGCAAAAAGAGGAAGAAGAAGAGCGAACTTGTTGCTGCAGTTTGGGGAGGTTGTACTAGCGAGAATTTGTTTCGCTAATAACTTTTCTTTGAATTGACCGAATTGAATAAAATTTTGAACAACAGTAGACAATTATATATAAATTATGTGTGCAAATGTGGACGCTATTGACGAAATTCTGCAGCGGGGGAAGGGGGGGAAAATTAAAAAAAAAAAAAAAAATAAACTCGTCCTTACTCGGACCTAGGAGAATCTGGATGCCAACTTTGGTTATTCTAGCTTTTATAGTTTCTGAGATCCTCGCGTTCATCCAGACGGACAGACGGACGGACAGACGGACGGACATGTCTAGATCGATTTCTCTCGTCATGCTGATCAAGAATATATATACTTTATGGGGTCGGAGATGCTTCCTTCTGTATGTTACATACTTTGCACAAACCTAATATACCCTTTTTACCCTACGGGTACAGGGTATAAAAATGCGTATTTTGTCCCAGTTGAATCCAATAGCGTGCGCCCGGAATGGGTTTTTCCCATGAATTTCGGCGTCTGTTGAACAGTCTCCGAAGGGTCCGCGAATAACGAAAACGACAACCAACCCAACTTCACTTAACAATTATAGTGAAAATCTTGAGCGGTTGTGGTGGTGTTTTATTATCTATAAGTAATTTTGTTTTACAAATAAAATTATTATTGCATAGCTGGCCAATTGGCAAATAAAATTCCCCCAACGTGTCATTGTACAGCTTTGTGTTAGGCTTTCTTATCTTTTATTTTGTTTAGTTTAATTTGTTATATTAAGTTTTATAATATAATCGACAGTAGTGTTGTTGATATTATGAATAAAATAAAATAAAAAAAAAAAAAAAAAAATTTTTATGCGCTTACATACCAATCCTTTCCCTTCGTCTTGAATACTGACGCGATAATTGGATACTTAATTTAAAGTAATGATCGATAATTACAGAGTTTCATAAACAAATAATCGGCAGGTACTTTCAAATTCAAATTAAAAACAGTACAAATTCAAAACTAAAATTAATTTGTAACATTCCGGCCCCCGTGAATCGACAAAGGCGGAGCCGGAGATTCACCAAACACGTCGAGGACTGCCAGCTTAGATGCTGGTCTTTGAAGCGTTGTAGTTCCCGTCTTCACTGAAGCGCTGCGTACTTGTCCATCTCGAGCTAGTTGCACCGCAGTTACTCTACCTCGCTTCCACTGACTTCGGCTTTCTGACTCATAGCATATGGTTACGATGTCTCCAACTTTAATTGGTTCCACACGTTGA